GGCAGGAGGAGTTCCAGTCTTTTGCTGCTGCTTTGCCTCATCTCGTGTCCACGCTGATTGCCCCTGAGGGAGACCCGGATGCACCAGACATCCCGACTCCTCGATCGTACGCTGAGGCGATCGAGGGTCCCTACTCCTCTCAGTGGCAGTCAGCCATGGACGCAGAGATGGCTTCTTGGAAGTCCACAGGCACCTACGTCGACGAGGTTCCCCCACCTGGGGCGAACATCGTCAGTGGCATGTGGATTTTCAGGGTGAAGCGGCCGCCGGGTTCTCCGCCTGTCTTCAAGGCGCGTTACGTGGCTCGAGTCTTCAGTCAGCGGCAGGGAGTTGACTACTTTTAGACCTTCTCTCCCACCCCGAAGATGACCACTCTTCGGGTGCTGCTGCACATAGCCGCTCAGCGCGACTACGAGCTTCACTCTTTTGAATTCAGCACAGCTTTCCTGTAGGGCAGCCTGCACGAGGAGATCTGGCTGCGCCGCCCACCTGGCTTCACTGGGTCGTTTCCTCCTGGTACCCAGTGGAGCCTCCGGCGGCCAGTCTACGGTCTCCGCCAGGCGCCCCGTGAGTGGCACGACAGACTGAGGACTACACTTGCGGCTCTTGGGTTTGCTCCTTCTACAGCCGACCCGTCGTTGTTTCTGCGCACCGACACCTCTTTGCCGCCATTCTACATCCTCGTGTACGTCGACGACTTGGTCTTTGCCACTGCTGACACTGCTGGACTCGCCCACGTGAAGTCCGAGCTGCAGAAGAGACACACGTGCACAGACCTGGGTGAACTGCGCAGCTACCTTAGCTTGCAGATCACCCGGGACAGAGCACAGCGCACCATTGCCCTCACTCAGTCACACATGGTGAAGTAGGTCCTTCAGCGCTTCGACTTCATGTACTCCTCGCCTCAGGCCACTCCTCTGTCTACTCGCCACTCGCTCTCAGCTCTGCCTTTGGATGAGTCCGTAGAGCCGAGTGGCCCGTACCCAGAGCTTGTTAGCTGCCTCATGTACCTGATGACCAGCACTCGACCTGACCTTGCATACCCTCTTAGCATCTTGGCACGCTATGTTGCTCCTGGGAGACACCGACAAGAGCACATGGCTGCAGCGAAGAGGGTGTTGCGCTACTTGTGCAGTACGTCGGGCATTGGGCTAGTGCTTGGAGGGCGGCGTTCAGTGGTCCTTACAGGTCACGCAGACGCTTCTTGGGCTGACGACCGGGCTACGCAGCGGTCGTCACCGGGTTACACCTTCAGCCTTGGCTCTGGCTCTGTTTCGTGGCGGTCTACCCGCTCGTCTTCGGTTCTCGGCTCCAGCTGTGAGGCTGAGATCTACGCGGGGGCCATGGCTGCACAGGAGCTACGCTGGCTCACCTACCTGCTGACTGACCTAGGAGAGCCGCCTCGTTCTCCTCCAGTGTTGTACGTAGACAACAAGGCCATGCTGGCCTTGTGTTGGAAGCACAGACTGGAGCACAGAACGAAGCACATTGCTCTTCGCTACTTCCTTGCTCGTGAGCTGCAGCAGCGTGGTCAGCTGCGCCTTGCTTACGTGGCCTCTCAGACCAACACTGCTGATATCTTTACCAAGGCACTTGCGCCTTGTGATCATCAGCGCTGCTGTACGATGCTAGGTCTTGTGCCTACTTGGCCTCACTTGCTCACTTCTTGACCTTGCTTGTACTGTGATCTTTCTATACCTGCACTTGCTTGTTTACCTTTATATATGATCTTGCATGTGAACTGGCCTTGTGGCCTTGAACTTGTGCTCGGAATGTGTGGTGACGTTGTGATCCACCCTGAGCTTGCTTTGCTTTGCTTGACTGGTCTTGTGACCCCTTGTTCTCCCCCACTTTGCCTATGGGGGTGTGTCAGACTTATATGACTTAGCCTGTGTAGGCTATAGTGGGGTAGCACATATGGGGTACAACACATTTCTAGGGTTTGTACTTGTACCCAACCCTTTCCTCTAGTAAACCATTCCTCATTCTTTCACCACCATCACATCACAATTGAATGTAGAAAATATTTAGTGGTCATGTAGCTAGCGACTAGTGCATCCTGTTTTTTTATTTCGCAATTTCTTTTAAATAACTAAAATATGGAGAAAAAAATATGCCCAAATCGATCGTTTAAAAAAAATAGTGTTGGCGTACTTGCGCCATGTATTTCTCCCCCGTCGTCTGCTGCTGCGCCCCCGCTGGGAGTTGGGAACTTGAGTTCCGCAAAGCATTTTGTGAACCCAAACGCAACGACCATCTAAAGCAGGGTCCCACACACACGATGTTATCACTTGGCCACAATGACGCTAGCCAACACCGCAATAAGAGTGCAGATTAGCTAGTCTAACCGTCTCGCCTCCTCACCCACCCATCGCACGCATTTCGTTCGAGTAGGGTGTAGTGTTGTTCGCGGACACACGACTCTTTTATTGGTGAACCATCGCGATCCACGTTTATCGCTAAGTTACACGCGATATCCCCATACATGCGAGAAGAGGTCCGCGCGATCAACGAAAATCCCCAGGGTGAGCAGAGGAATCGTACAACCCCACTTATTGTGCCCCACATCGCGCGCCCACCCTGTCGACGTCGCCATCGCTCCCTCCCTCACATCGCCCACGCACACTCCCCTCGTCCGCCCACGCGCACTCCCCTTCTTCGCCCACGCACACTACCCTCTTCCGCCCTCGCGCGCTCCCCTCTTTCGCCCACGCACACTCCCCTCGTCCGCCCCCGCGCGCTCCCCTCTCTCGCCGTTTCTCACTCCCCGCGGCCGTCCCCGCGCACTCCCCTCTTTCGCCCACGCACACTCCCCTCGTCCACCCCCGCGCACTCCCCTGATTCATCCCCACGCTCACTCCCCTCCCTTCGGGCACGCGTCGCTGTTCCCTCCGTCACACACGCTCGCTCCATGAAGTCGCCCACGCCTTCACCACTCCGACACCCACCTGCATTTCCCTGCTAAGCAGATTTGGCAGCAGCAGCCCCCGTCCATTCCCCCTTTGCAACCCTAAACTCCCTCTCCCCCGTGCTCCCCCGACGTCTCCACCCTACCTCCCCTCCTTCCCCCCCCCTGCTTTGGTTTAGGCAGGGCGGACCGTAGCTTGCTGGCATTAGCGCAACGGGCGGACGAGCAGCAACACCAAGCGGCGGCGAGTTCAGAAAATCAGCTGCTAAGTCACGGTTGTGCTGAGCGATTGCGAGGTACGACGACACCACCTGCTTTGGTATGCCTCATCGTCATGTCGGGTGCCTGTTCCTGAATTTCCGCGCCCCCTTCATTCGCACATTGCGGCTTCTCCACTCCCCGCCCCTTTGCGAGCATCTCCATTCCGCACTGACCGCGTCTCGTTCTTCCATCGTCACATACCCTTTCCACCCTTCACCTGTCGGCCTTACTCTCTTTTTCCCCCTAACCCCCCTCTGCCTTACGCCCATCCTCCCCTCGCTCGCCCTCAATCTTACACTCTTCTTCTCCCACCATGCGTCCCCTGCATAACGCCCTGCTTCCCCCTTTCCCCTGTCTTCCCTACACCATTATTCCCCCTCTGCCCTCCTTGCCTTACGCCCTTGTTTACCCCATCCCCTCGCCCTTACCCCCTTCTTCCCGTTCTCATCCTTACGCCCTGCTTCCCCTCTTTCCCTCTCTGCCCTCCATCCTACTCCCCCTTATCCCCTCTCTGCCTTACACCCTTCCTCCCCCTGTCCCCTCTCTGCCTTACCCGGTTCTTCCGCCATTCCCACCTTTCTGCCTTATGCCAGTCTCCCCCTTTTCCCAACTTCCATACGCTCTTCCTCCTCCTTCCCCCTCTCTGCTTTACGCCACTCTGCCTTACTCCCCTACTTCCACCTTTTCCCTATCTCCCTTGCTCTCTTCAGCCCCCTTCCACCTTTGACCACCAGATAATGCACCGTTGGTCCCCTTTGTTCCTTTTCTCAACCCGCCACCCTGTTCTCCCCTCTCCGCGGTACACCCTCCTTCTCCCTCTTTCCTCACTCCCTTACCCCCTTCTTCCACCTATCCCCTCAACGCCTTACACTCTTCTTCCCCCTTTTCCCTCTCCACCCTACACCCGTCTTTCCCATCTCCCCTCTCTGCCTCCCTCCCATCTTCCCCCTTTCCCCTCTCTCCTTACACTCTACTTGCCCCACCATGTGTTCAGTGCCTTACACAGTGCTACTTCCTTTTTCCTCTCTTCCTTACACCTTACTGAACCCCTTTCCCCTCTCTGCCTTACGCCCATGCCCCCACCGTTCACTCACATCCTTACACCTTTATTCCCCCGCCATGAGTTAGAGGTCTTACAACCTTTTTCCCCCATTCTCCACTCTGCCACACCCCCTTCAACCTCCTTTCCACCCTCTGGGCCTTACGCCCGCCTTCCCCCCTTTCCCTCTCTTCACTTCAGCCTACTTCTTCTTTCCCCTCACATCCTTATGCCTTGCGTCTCCCTTCCCCCACTCTCCTTACACTTTTCTCATTGCACCATGAGTTCACAGCCTAACGCCTCCTTCCCCCTTTCCCCTCTCTGCCTCACACCCTTCTTCTTCCTTTCCCCACTCTGCATTACCACCTTCGTCCATGTCTCCAACCTCGGTGCCTTGCACCCTGCTTCCCCCTTTTCCCTCTCTTCCCTACACTCTTCTTCCCCCTCTCCCATCACGGCCCTACACCCTTATACCCCCTTTTCGGGCACATCGTTAAACCCTTCAATCCCCACCATGCGTTCTCTGCCGTCCCGCCCTTCTTCCCCTATTCCCCACACTGCCATACCTCCTTCTTCCGCTTTTACACCCTCTCTGCCTTACGCCCTTCATCCTCCTTTTCCCCTCCTCCTTTTTTTCCTCTACCCCCTTTTCCCCTCTCTTCCCTTCACCATTCTCGCCCCCTTCCCCTCTCTACCTTACACCCTTCTTCCCCACCAAGCGTACTCTCCCTATCGTCCTGCTAAACCGCTTTTCCCCCTCTTCCCTACACCCTGTTTCCCCCTCTCTCTGGTATGCCTTGCGCCCTGCTTCCCCCTTTCCCCTCTCTTCCCTACACCATGCGTCCCCCTCCCCCTTGTCTACTAAACACCCTTCTTCTCCCTAATCCGCCTTATCCCTCTCTGCCGTACTCCCTGCTTCCCCCATGTCACTCTCTACACTGCACCCGTCCTCCCCCTCTCCCCCCTCCGCCTTACACCTTTCTTCCCCCTTCCCTTCTCTGTCTTAAACCCCTTTCCCCCTCATACCACTCTGCCTCACTCCCCTTATCCCACCTTGTCCCTGCCTATCACCAACCTTATCCCCTTTCCCTCCCTGCCTCTCACCCTTCCTATCTCCTTTCCCTCCCTGCCTTACCCCCTTCCTATCTCCTTTCCCTCCCTGCCTCTCACCAACCCTATCCCCTTTGCCTCCCTGCCTCTCACCCTTCTTATCCCCTTTCCCTCCCTCCCTGCCTCTCACCAACCCTATCCCCTTTCCCTCCCTGCCTCCCACCCTTCTTATCCCCTTTCCCTCCCTGCCTCTCAACCTTCCTATCTCCTTTCCCTCCCTGCCTCTCACCAACCCTATCCCCTTTGCCTCCCTGCCTCTCACCCTTCTTATCCCCTTACCCTCCCTGCCTCTCACCCTTCTTATCCCCTTTGCCTCCCTGCCTCTCACCCTTCCTATCACCTTTCCCTCCCTCCCTGCCTCTCACCAAGCCTATCCCCTTTCCCTCCCTGCCTCCCACCCTTCTTATCCCCTTTCCCTCCCTGCCTCTCAACCTTCCTATCTCCTTTCCCTCCCTGCCTCTCACCAACCCTATCCCCTTTGCCTCCATGCCTCTCGCCCTTCTTATCCCCTTTCCCTCCCTGCCTCTCACCCTTCTTATCCCCTTACCCTCCCTGCTCCTCACCCTTCTTATCCCCTTTGCCTCCCTGCCTCTCACCCTTCCTATCTCCTTTCCCTCCCTGCCTCCCACCCTTCTTATCCCCTTTCCCTCCCTGCCTCTCACCAACCCTATCCCCTTTCCCTCCCTCCCCCACCTCCCCACATCCTTTATCACCCTTACCCCTATCCCCTTACACATTCTCACCCCCTTACACCCCTTGATCCACCTGTCCCCTCACAACCTTACATCCATCTTCCCCCTTTCACTCGCTGCCTGGAACCCTTCTTCTCCCTTTCCTTTCGCCGCCCACACCAATCTTCCCTGCATCCCCTCTCTACCAGGCACCCATCTTCCACCCATCCCCTCTCTGCCTTACCCCCCTTCTTCCTGTTGGTGCAACCCTGCGGTTTGCACTCGGCTTGTTGTCCGTGTGCATGCATGCGTGTGTGCATGGAATGGAATGAGGGCATGAAATAAATATATATTTCATGCTCACAATATTGTGTGTATGATGGGTCATGATGTCGAGTGTGTGTGTGTCAAGTCTATAGCGAATTATCGCTAGTCGCGTGTAACGCGGTCATTTTGTGTGTCCCGCGCGGTTTCTATTTTGTCGTGCGCGGTTTCTATTTAGTCGCTTGTCGAACGTTCAGCGTGTCGCAGGTGTGTGCAGCAGACCCATCAAGAACTCAAGGATGAGTTTGTGATGAAGAACCCGAGCCTTGGTTGCAAGTTGCAAGTTATTTCTTATGTAGCGTTTCCTCCCTTTCTACTCCCTTGCTCCGCCCATTCCCGTTTCTGTCTTCCCCCCTTCTTCCCCCCGTTCCCTCGCTTCCTTACACCCTTTTTCCTCCATGAATGCACTCCCTGCCATACTCCCTGCTTTCCCACTTCCCTCACTTGTCTACACCAGGGCAAATTTTTGGATTTTGACTACCCTTATGAGCAGTGTGGTACAAGGTCAAAAACCTGATTATCAGTGTGACCCCTTCTGAAAACCCTGTTACATCAGGGTTTATGTCAGTTTTCAAAAATTTACCCTGTCGCATCCAGGGCTTCGTTTTGGATTTGGCCTGCTCACGATTGGCAGTGTAGCATTTTCTAAAACCCTTCTGAGCAGTGTGTAAATTTTCATTACACTGTTAGAGCAGTGTAACATAAACTTTTGAAATTTTCACCCTGCAGCATCAGTGTGGCATTTTTCCGTACACTGCAGTGTCGTGCTGGCAAGGGAAATAGTGGCCAACGCACGTACTGAACGGAAGATAACGTCGGGGCGTGACTAGCGGAAATTACGCTCTGACGAGTCTCGGGGAAAAGAAAGGGGGAAAGGGGGGGGGGGGGGTCTGTACGCCCTCCAGTGTAATCTTCGATAACTAGAAAATGACCCTAAGGCATCAGTGTAGCCTACAACGATACACTTACAGATCAGTGTAACACTAATTCACAAAACAAATACCCCAGCCCATCAGTGTAGAGTCAAAATTTCACCCTTCTTATCAGTATAGAAGGGTAAATTACACTGCAAACCTGAGCCCTGGTCGCATCAGTGTTCTTAAAAGACAAACCCTGGAGAAACCGCAAGTCTGGCCTATGGTGGCCCACTTTGAGCCAGCACATGCGTTGTCAAGGCCGAAATTACGGTTTCGCCAGTTGGCATTCGGGATTCGGGAACAACAAGTCTTAAGCGCCTCTGTCGTGTCGAAACTCAAGACACAAGCGAAGCAGCTCAAATCGAAGCATCGCGAGTCAACTATCGGAAGTTAAAGTAACCGCTGGAGGTTACGCGAAGGTCAAAGGTCAGCGACCTTTGACTTGACAAATGCAGCGCGACAGCAAGGACATACAACTGACTCGACATTGAGCAGTTGCCCGAGTCGCACTGTATCGAATCGCAACAGTAAAACAGTTTAATTATATCTATTCGTATTTCTTGTACTCTTATATAAATCTTTGTATTTGCTTGTTTTAATTAACTTACTTTTGCCCTCACATACTAGCGCAAGGTGGTTCAAGGACTTTCATTAAAACTCTTCCGCTATTACATCATCCTACTCAGACTTTAACTCTACAAAGATCCTAGGGCATCTCAGCCCAACATGGTATGAGAGCAAGTTAGAGTTTAAAATTACTCCCTTTTCTTCAACACTCAATACAAAGAAGACATGTCTGCTAGAAAGGAGAGGAGCTCCTCCAACGGCTCTCCCGGCACTACCCCTACTCCACCTCCTGTCTGTGGCCTACTGACAGAGGAAGGGACAACAACGAGACCAGCAGCTGGGTCTACGGAAACACCCGCGGGCTTCGATCCAAGTATGATGGAGAAATTTTTCTCCTTTATGTCCTTCTACGAGCAGCATCAGCAAGGAGTACCTGCGCAGTCAAACAACAGCAACAACAACAACAACGTGACGCCCATGAGCCTCGATGGCTCATCCTACGCACGCGGGAATCAACAACAACAACAACCAGCAACAACAACAAATGAAGACAATACCTCCGTTCTGCCACATCTGCAAGACTTCAGGGCATCCTCGTACGCACTGCCCGTCTCGTCAGCAATCGACAACACCACAGCGACAACTTCGGCCTTCAAGCTCCCAAGTAACCTCAACGCAAGCAAATCCAACAACTTCAATCCAAGCTTCAACGACTTCAACAGGACAACCTGCACACGGAGCAAGAAACATCGTCAATTGCATGGTGAAGATAACAGACCCCTGCACAACCGAGTCACCACCTTACTACTCACCAGAAGAACAACTCGACAACAGCACGCCTCGCCGCGAGTCACTCCAGCCGAACCCGACGTACGCTGCCATCGCTCAAAGCGAACCGTCCGGACAAGACACTTGGTTCATGGACAGTTGCTGCGGACAACACGTGCTCCTCAGGACGCTTCGTTCAACGCGAACATCGACTTCAACGAGAGGTTGTCATCACGGTCGCCAACAACCAGAACCTGCGCACACGACGACAAGGAGTAGTACAACTTCAGTCACGAGAGACAAACGTTATATTGCACATGTCAAAGGTGCTAATCGCGGAGGGACTCGGCTACAACTTACTGAGCGTCAGCCAGTTGATGGCGAAAGGCATCCACTCGGAAGCCGACAGCACCACCCAGGAGTTTAAGTTGTACCACGGGAAGGGTGGTCTGTACATCGGAAAGGCGGTTTTGAAAAACAACGTCTTCGTTCTTGACTTTGTCCCAGACCTGGGCACTGCAGACAGCGATGCCATCGTTAACTTCGCCGACTGGACACATCCCCCGGATCTCGATCCCGACTTCAGCCCGGGAGGCTTCTGGTATTCGCATACCATCCCTGAAGCAGAACGAACACGCGCGTTAGCAACAATTCAACAATCAGCAGCAGCAGAGACAACATCGGCAGCAGAAGAGACAACATCGGCAGCAGCAGAGACAACATCGGCAGCAGCAGAAACATCATCGGCAGCAGCAGGACCAACGACACCAGTCTTCGTCGACGAAGCACCACCAACACCCGCACAGCAGCTGAACCCGACTCAACGAGAAGTCCACAGAAGCGCAAACTTCGTCGCCAGCTTCTACTCCAACTCCGACGCGTATCAACGCTCACCCGGACATCGCGCCCCCGAAGACATCTGGCATGCACGCACAGGACATCCAAGCAACACAGTGTTAAACAATACAATACGAGCAGGAGTCCTAGACAAGGATTCGTTACTACTACCCGACGGCAGAGAACTTCAACGGGCACGAGGAACTTGCCTCATCTGCCCCGAAGCCGACTTACCACATCGACCGTTTACATCCCACCACAACCCGAGCGCACCCGCGTACGCACCACTCGAGAAGGTGTACAGCGATATTCTCTTCAATCGAGAACCAGGACAAGTCACTTACAACTACACGATAACCTTTATCGATGCTGCCACCCGATACGTCTGGCACCGAAACCTACCCAGCCGCGATATGGCACTCGCAGCATTCGCCGCCTGGCTACCAGTAACAGAGAGAGAGTCGGGAACACAGCTGAAAAGCTTCCAGTCAGACGGAGGAGGAGAATACACCTCTCAGAGATTCAAGTAGTACCTGGCGGAAAGGGGAATCAAGCAACTTCTCTCCCTTCCCTACGCCCATCAGCAGCAAGGTGTCGCAGAAAGAATGAACAGGACCTTACAGAACAGCATGCGCAAACTGCTACGTGGCATGCGGCTACCCAACCACCAGTGGCCTGCAGCAATGGACCATGCTGTCATGCTGCACAACTTGTTGTTGTCGTCCTCACTTCCGAACAACGCATCACCGCATCTGCTGTGGACAGGGAAGCAGGGCAGCACAAAAATGTTACGAGTTTTCGGGTGCATGGTACAGTACCGACCCCCAGAAGCACGAGCGGGACGATTTTCACAACGGGCACAGTGGGGACTACACCTCGGCATCGAAAAGAATTACAACGCGTAGAAAATCTTCGACGTCCACTCAAAGGAAACAGTAGCAGCACGTGACGTGATCTTCTACGAGCGACTCACACTTCAGACGTACCTCGCCAACTTGCACGAAAATCAGGACCCCACATGTGGTTTTCGTGGTGACCGAGCCTTCGCCTCAGCAGCGGACGAAGCAGACTGGGACGAGCAGAACGTTGACAACGCATCGGAAGAAGCCGGACCTCTACCGTTCTGCTCCGTCAACGTCCCCATGGACGAAGAAAATCCTCGCGACAGTGTTAACGCTGAAGTCTTCTACCACTTCGCCGACAACGGTTACGTAACACCTGCGACAGTCAACACAAACGAAGCAGAACGGATAGGGCCGAATTTCATACCCGACCCAGAAGCGGGAGACGAAGCAGCTTATCCCGAGGACCCAACACTCCCCCGCTACTCACAGACTAGACTGCAGATTCTCGGCCTCGTCACCGCAGTCCACGGCAACGCTCTTCCTAAAGAGCCTGCGACGGTTCAGCAGGCTCTAGGGGGGGAACACAGGGAGAAATGGCGTGAAGCCATGGACAGAGAATTTAAGGCACTGGAGGAACGCAAAACCTGGAAAGTCGTTCCCGCAAGCGTGGCAAGGAACAAGACCATTCTCACCGGGAAATGGGTCTTCCGCATCAAAACGAAAGCAGACGGCACAATCGAGAAATTCAAAGCACGCTGGGTCGTACGTGGATTCGACCAGGAGCACGGACGGGACTTCACCGAGACATTCGCCTCGGTCAGCCGACATACCTCTCTCCGAATTCTTCTCGCGATTGCCCCCATGAAGAAGAAGAAATTGCGACAAATTGATGTCGCCAACGCATTCCTCTACGCACCCGTCGACGCCGAAATCTTCGTCGAGCTCCCACACGATACCCGCGGGAAACCTAATCAGGTTTGCCAGCTCTCAGAATCCCAACCACTAGACCATTGGGATAAAAGGGCTTGTTTCAGTAGCGGGTCAGTGCGCCCATAACCCCCCAGGCAACCGTGCCTGTAACCCTTCCCTAGGATCAATCGGGGATCACCAGTGGACCTCTGACACCCCCCCGCACTGGGATGCCCGAAGTGCATACACCGAGATTCGAACCCGAGACCTTCGCTCTGATACCATCTCATAATCCCAACCACTAGACCATTGGGATAAAAGGGCTTGTTTCAGTAGCGGGTCAGTGCGCCCATAACCCCCCAGGCAACCGTGCCTGTAACCCTTCCCTAGGATCAATCGGGGATCACCAGTGGACCTCTGACACCAGCTGCTGAAATCGCTCTACGGAATCAAACAAGCCCCGCGGCTGTGGCAACAGCACCTACACACTCGCCTCACTCGCATCGGATTCCGCCAACTGCCTCACGACCAAGGGATGTATCGACTCACTAAAAACGCCGACTATATCCTGCTGATCGTCTACGTCGACGACCTACTCTACATTGGCTCCACCGACGACATCACCACCTGGTTCGAAGGGGAGCTACAGAGGGACCTCACGCTCACGGTTTCCTCTACCGTCACTCAGTATCTCGGACTCAACATCCGCGAAGAAGAGAATGCGATCTACCTCAGCGCCGAAAAATATGCCGACACTATCGCCAAGCGCTTCTCGCTCACACCTACCACTATCTCCACGCCATACCGCTACACGGCAGGGAACGACAAGGATGGTTCCACTCTACTCAAAACTGCCGGAATACGCGACTACCAGAGGAAGCTGGGCTGCCTTCTCTTCGCAGCCGTCACCTGCCGCCCAGATCTGTCCTACTCCGCAAGTCAACTCGCCACCTACCTTAAAAGACCCGAAGCAGAGCACCTGGCGGAGCTCAACCGCGCACTACACTACTTCGTGAGCACCTCGACGATCGGCCTGACATACTACAAGAATAAAACTACACCGACGAAACTAATCGGCTACGTCGATGCCGATCACGCCGGCGATTCAGACAACAGACGCTCCCGCACTGGCTACATCTACCATCTCGAACCTATTGGACCCATCTCCTGGCAATCGAGCAAGCAGGAACTAATCGCTCTCTCTTCAGCTGAAGCAGAATATATCGCCCTCTGCTCAGCCACCAAGGAAGGACTCTATCTTCGCGAGCTGCTGGAAGAAGCAAAGTTAGCCGAGTTACCCAACTTCACTTTGTTCTGCGACAATCAATCTGCGATTCGCATTGCCAACAAGAGCGGATTCGCGAACAGAACGAAGCATATCGCTCTGCGATATTTCTTCGTGAAAGACGAGATCGAGAAAGGGAAACTCGAACTATCCTACTGTCCCATGTCCGAGATGGCAGCCGACTACTTGACCAAGAAGCTCGGAAAACAGAAGTTCGAGTATTGCATGCTGCTGACTGGACAAAGCCACGTCACCATCAGCGACACTCCAGAAGCGAAGGGGAGTGTTGGGAACAACAAGTCTTAAGCGCCTCTGTCGTGTCGAAACTCAAGACACAAGCGAAGCAGCTCAAATCGAAGCATCGCGAGTCAACTATCGGAAGTTAAAGTAACCGCTGGAGGTTACGCGAAGGTCAAAGGTCAGCGACCTTTGACTAGACAAATGCAGCGCGACAGCAAGGACATACAACTGACTCGACATTGAGCAGTTGCCCGAGTCGCACTGTATCGAACCGCAACAGTAAAGCAGTTTAATTATATCTATTCGTATTCCTTATACTCTTATATAAATCTTTGTATTTGCTTGTTTTAATTAACTTACTTTTGCCCTCACATACTAGCGCACGGTGGTTCAAGGACTTTCATTAAAACGCTTCCGCTATTACCGTACATCATCCTACTCAGACTTTAACTCTACCAAGATCCTAGGGCATCTCAGCCCAACATGTACGCCCTCCAGTGTAATCTTCGATAACTAGAAAATTACCCTAAGGCATCAGTGTGGCCTACAACGATACACTTACAGATCAGTGTAACACTAATTCACAAAAAAAATACCCCAGCCCATCAGTGTAGAGTCAAAATTTCACCCTTCTTATCAGTATAGAAGGGTAAATTACACTGCAAACCTGAGCCCTGGTCGCATCAGTGTTCTTAAAAGACAAACCCTGGAGAAACCGCAAGTCTGGCCTATGGTGGCCCACTTTGAGCCAGCACATGCGTTGTCAAGGCCGAAATTACGGTTTCGCCAGTTGGCATTCGGGATTCGGGAATTGTGGGTTACTGGAAAAAGGGGGGGTGGGGGAACTGGGGGGGGGGGGGGGGGGGGGGGGGTATGGAACTCGCTTCAGGGAAACACTCGTTATTGCATACGGGAACCCTTAGTCATCAGTGTGCCTATATTGTAAACCTTGACACATCAGGGTAATCTTGACTCTTAGAAAAATTACGGTACCCTGGACCATCAGTGTTACTCCCAAAAACCACCCTGATTATCAGGGTATCAGGGTGATTTACACTGATAAAGTTAGCCTTGGTCTACACCCTTCTTCCCTCTCTCGCTCCCTGTGCCCTCTCACGCAGCTACCTCCATGCTCCCCCCCTTGCCCTATCACGCTACGCCGTCGACTGTCCCCTTGCGCCTAAATCACTTTCTCACTATGTCTACTCTCACTATGTCTACTCTCACCCTAAACCCTGTCTACTCTCACCCTAAACCCTGTCTACTCTCACCCTAAACCCTGTCCTTCTTCCCCTCGCCAGCACAGCGCCCTCCTCGTTGGCCCCTCTGCCCCTCTCTGCTCACAGCCTCCAAACCTCGACCCAGACCGCCGCCGCGCCACTCTTGGGGTGTGACATCAACACTCTCAGATCCGAACCAGGTACATCACGCCAACTCTTCCTTGCCTCTCTCCTCCCTCTCCCTTCTCTCGTCTCCATCCCCTTTCCTCTCTGACTTCCCTCACTCCCCATCCTGCATTACTCCGCCCTCCGCCTTCCCTTTCTCAACCCCCTGCTCTCTCCTCCCCTCACAGATGCAACTCCCGAACCAACTCCTCCCCCTCTTCGGCTCCCAGCCCTCTATCCCTTCAAAGCCCTCTCTCCCCTCCTTGCCCTCCCTCGACCCCTTGCACTCCCCCCCCTCCCTTCCCTCTCTCCCCTCAGTAATCTGTCGCCCTGTCACACCCTCGTGTTGTGTTGCACCCTGTCCTAGCCCCTCTCTGCCCTCGTCTGCACCCTCTCCCTTTTTTAGCAATGTTGTCTCCTCCCAACTGCCGCACACTGACCGGGCCCCATGCTTTGTCGTTTTACATTGCATGATTTGGCACACCACATGTTCCAGCTTCCCCCTCCATGCTCGTTACCCTTCCCCACCCTCGCAAACCAGTCTACCACTCTCAGCTGCCATTAGTGTGAGGGCTGGATGCAAATGTCGCACCGGCAAGGGACGGGCAGAGGCACAGCTAAGCGCGCCCGAACTGGCGGGCCTGTTAGGTAAGCCATTCCGGTTTTCTATTACTATGCCTCCACACTGCTAGGTAACCTGCTCCATTTGAAAACATCCCCACACTGCTAGTTACATGTTTAACCCTCGCTCATTCATCCTTGTCACTATTTTGGGCAGGCCACGCTGTAGGGCTCTCATGCGTCGTCGGCCGGAAGGGGTACGCATGGTTTGCGAGGATGATCTTGAGGAGACCGAGGAAGAGATGCAGCGGGACAGTGCATCTACTTCATAAGACACAGCTTCACCCTGCACAATGCGTAGTGGGGAGTATGGATGGGAAGGGGGGGGAGAGATGGTGGGGAAGGGAGGACAGAGCAAGAGGAAGGGATGGAATCTGCGAAGGGAGGATTGAAGGGAGCATGCGAGGAGATACGGCGTGAATGGAGGGGAAGTGATGGGAATGGGTTACAGAAGTGGGGACGGGAAGTGCATGGACGAAGAGGTAAGTTTCCGGGACGCGTCTCAGTTATGCGGCGTACACCCCGCCCCCCCATCTCCGCACCCACCCTCCTACCCTTTCCGCCGAACTGGCCCGTGCCCTATTCCAGTTCCCCTCGACTACTGCTGGCGGCCGAGAGTCTGGGAAAGCTGCCTGCAGACCAGCGGGCGCCCATCCTTGGCGTGGATGAGGCGCGAAGGCATGGGCGCTGGCGAAGTACCTTCGCGGGAGGGGGAGGAATGAGCGAGGGGGAGATGGGATGTGAGAGGATGGGGAGGGATGAGAGAGGGGGGTGGAATATAGGTGGGAGGAGTTTAAAAAGGAGGGTGAAAGACGGGGAAGGAGGATAGGCGGTGATAGGCTTGGAGGGGGGAAATGAGGGGAAGGAAGGAGGAACATGGGGGTCCGAGGGGAGCAAGGGATGAGAGAGGGGAGGAGGGGAGGGGATGATAGAGGGGAGGAGGGGATGAGAGAGGGGAGGACGGGATGAGAGAGGGGAGGAGGAAATGAGAGAGGGGAGGACGGGATGAGAGAAGGAAGGAGGGGAGGAGTGATGGGGAGGCGGGAATGAGAGAAAGAGGGAGGGGATGAGGGAGGGGTGGAGGGGATGAGAGAGGGGGGGAGGGTATGAGGGAGGGGAGGAGCGGATGAAAGAGGGAAGAGGGTATGAGAGAGGGGAGGAGGGGATGAGCGATGGGAGGAGCGGGTGAGGGAGGGAAGGCGGGGAGGAGAGATGGGAGGAGGGGATGAGAGAAGGGAGGGGGGGACGTGTGAGGGCGTTCCGTTGAGGCGCATTACTCACTGTGGCACATGGTAAAGCACCTGATGCACATGCTTTGACCACCGGGTACAGTGTATCTCACACCTGAGACTGAGACTGAGACTGAGACTGAGACTGAGACTGAGACTGAGACTGAGACCCGTGCACCTGCAGCGCAAGGTAGAGCACGGCCCCCACGAGACACAGGGGCCACGTGCCCTGCGGGGGAGTGGGGAACACGGGCATAGGGAGTGATGAGAGAGCGGCAGACGGGCTAGTTGAGGAGAGGGAGGCGTGAGGGAGCGGAGGAGGGGATAGTAGAGGAGAGGAAGGGAAGAGATAGCGGCGGACGGGATGAGGGATGGATGGGCAGGGATGGGAGAGCGGTCGACGGGATGAGAGCAAAGAGGGAAGTTGTTGAGAGAGGGGAGGGCGGGATGAGAGCAGAGAGGGAGGGATGAGCACATGCGGAGGACAGGATGAGAGCAAAGAGGGAAGTTGTTGAGAGAGGGGAGGGCGGGATGAGAGCAGAGAGGGAGGGATGAGAGAGCGGAGGACGGGAAGAGACCGGAGAGTCACGGATGGGAGAGCGCAGGACGGGATGAGAGAGTGGTGGACGGGATGAGATAGATCCGCGAGAAATGAGAGCTGGGAGGACGGGATGCGAGCGGAGTGAAGAGGGAGGGATGAGAGAGGGGAGGACATGTCACGAGGGATGGCGGGGCAGGGATGAGTGAGCAGAGTAAGGGATCAGAGCGGAGAGGGAGGGGAGAGCGGGGGACGGGACGAGAGCGGAGAGGGATGTGAGGAGAGGGGCATAGGAAGTGCAGGGAGGTCGGTGGAAGGGAAGGCGAGGGATGGGAAGCGAAGAGAATAAAAGGGATTGGAGGGGAGAGGAAGCAAAGGGATGGGAGGGGTAGTGCATTGTGAGGGAGTGATAAGGTGCTCTGTGGGGGGGAACAGGGAGGTGTGGCATGGGGGAAAGGGGGGGTGCGACCTGGGGGACAGGGAGGAGCGACATGGGGGGGGGGGGGGGGGGAGGTTGGAATGGCGACCGGGGAGAAAGGGGAGGAGCGACCTGCGGGGGTAGGGGAAGTGGAGGGGAAGGGGAAGTGGAGGGGAAGGGGAAGTGGAGGGGAAGGGGAAGTGAGACCTGTGGGTGAGGGGAGGAGCGACATGCGTGGGTAGGGGAAGTGGAGGGGAAGGGGGTGTGCGACCCGTGGAAAAGGGGTGGAGCGACCAGGGGGAAGTGGTTGTGCGACCTGGGGTGAAGCCGATGAGCGCCCTGTGGGGAAGTTGAAGTGCGAGCCGGCTGAAAGGGGAAGTGCGACTCAGGGGAAAGGGGAAGTGCGACTCGGGGGAAAGGGGAAGTGCGTCATGGGGGAAGCGGGAGTTGCGACCTTGGGAGAGATGGGAACGGAAGTGGGAGCGGGTTATATCCTTGGAGGTAACGAGGCGGCGGTGGAGGCGTAGGCGATGAGGCGCGACCTGGACGATGCAAGCCGTTGAGGAGGCGCGTCGGCGTGGCGCCGATTGCAATAGCGGGGTGGCGAGGCAGCCACCCAGCGGTGGCAGGGATCCCACATCGTGGCGTGGCGCGGGATGAGCGTGGCGAGGGAGGGATGAGAGAGGGGGTGGATGAGAGAGGGGAGGACGAGATGGGAGAGGAGAGGACTGGAGGAGAGAGGAGAGGACGGGAGGAGAGATGAGAGTGAGGGACGAGAGATGAGAGCGAGGGATGAGAGATGAGAGCGAGGGATTACAGGCGAGAGGACGGGATGGGAAAGGAGAGGGAGGCATGAGTGTGGGGAGGACGGGATGCTAGTGGAGAGGACGGGATGGGAGAGGGGAGGCCGTGACGAGAGAGGAGAGTACGGGATGAGAATGGAGAGGGAGGGATGAGAGAGTGTGGGACGGGAGGAGAAAGGGATGGGAGGGATGAGAGAGTAGACGGAGGGATGATAGAGGAGAGGACGAGATGATAGTGGAGAGGACGAGATGATAGAGGAGCGGACGAGATGATAGTGGAGAGGGAGGTGGACACGGAGAGGGAGGTGGACACGGAGAGGGAGGTGGACACGGAGAGGGAGGTGGACACGGAGAGGGAGGTGGACACGGAGAGGGAGGTGGACACGGTCCTGAGAGGAGAGAGGGGGATGAGAAGGGCTGAACTCGGAGAGGAGGGTATGAGGGGGAGGAAGGGAACAGAGACGAGAGTGAGGGATATGAGATGAGAGGACGGGATGGGAAAGGAGAGGGAGGGATGAGTGAGGCGAGGACGGGATAATTGTGGAGAGTGATGGATGAGAAAGGGGAGGCCGTAACGAGAGAGGTGAGTGAGGGTTGACAGAGGAGAGGACGGGATGAGAAAGGAGAGGGACGGATGAGAGAGGGGGGGATGGGAGGAGAGAGGGACGGGAGGGATGCGAGAGGAGAGGACGGGATGGGAGAGGAGAGTGAGGGACTAGAGAGGGAGGACGGATGAGAGAGGGGAGGGAGGGAGTGGTGAGGGGTGGACGGGATGAGAGAGGGGAGGCACTGAACTGAGAGGGGAAGAAGGTGGGGGCATGTGTGCCTTCTGGGCGATGCGGCTGCGATGCGGCAGGCGGCAACCTGTAGGCGTGGCGGGGAGTCGGCTATTTAACGTGCGAGGCTAAGACGCCCTGTCGACGAGTGTGCTACGCGGCTCGCAGGCGTTGTGTGGACGGGGGGGCAAAGCCCGTGCGCGGAGGCGACGAGGATGTGAGGCCGCCACGCCTTGCACCCGACCCTCCTACCACTTCGTCGCGACGTGGTAATGCTGTGGATTTTTGGTCATCGCACCTTCTGTGCCTCTACGGAAGGCGTGACTGCTTATTGGCGGGTTTGTTAGTGTCATGGGGCAGTGCATGACGCAGGGTGCGGGAGTGATGCACAGCGGAGGACATTAGCCGTCGCGGCGGGTGTGCACGGCGCTATAAACACGGCGAGGTAGTGGTTCAACCACAGCATCAAAATCCTCTCGACCCGTTCGCCCCTCGCCGCACTGACTGGCGTCGCTGCGATCTACTCGAAGTGTGGCCTTACGCACGTAAGATTGAAACGCGGAACTCGTGCGAGGCTGTTAGATCCCTGCTTACTAACCAAGTCGTAGTGACAGGAGCGCCGTTTGGATCGCCGTGTTTAGGGTTGATGCCTCCCTGACCAGATGCATGCCCGAATGGGTTTTATTTTTTTTGCCCGCGGGCAGCGAGCTCCCTCGGGCGTCGTCCTGGTCCCGCTGAGCTATTTTCGGCGGGCTGGGATTTGCGTGCTTCAAATCTACTGCTGAGGTGACTCGCGCACTGACGGGGGCATTTTCAGTGAGTTCGCTTTTTGGGAGCGCAAGGGGCAGGCGTTCCGCCCAACCCCTCCCTCTCTGTGAGTTCCCCCAAACACTGGGCGATTTCAATAGACCTCGCTAGTGAGGTGTCGTCAACTCGCACCAGGCATACAACCCGATCCAAATTTCGTTAGCGAATCACTGGCCCTGCTAGGGTGTACATGACAATATCCCCAAAAACCACCCCCCCGAATGTGCACCCTGCATATTTGTGGATCGCTATTCTACCGATGCATATGGCCTGGATGATTTCCAGGCAGAAGTTTCATTCCAATAATAGCGCTATTGTTATAAGCGCGAACAGCTGGCGAATGCTTGTGTGTCACAATCACAAACAAATCAGCTTCGCATTGCTTGCTTCCGTCCAGCAAATCAGGTCAAAGTCAGTCAACCACGCTGATGTTGGCAATGGGTAGCCTCAAGAAGTTTCAGAAGCCACGTGAGACCCTTCACACCATTGGAGTCGGAGATCTGACGTGGGACGTTTTCGTCCTCTCCTCTGCTCGCTGATGACATCAATGGTAGCAGAAGGTCCACGCGGCTGGATATACGTCCCAAATATGCCAGATGATGATTCGGACTATCCACCGAGGCAGAACAGGTGGGCAGCCACGTCTCACAATGAAGGGCATTTATCTTAGCGGTAACAATCATGGAGCTCGATCGCATCCGAGATAGGCCACGTGTACATTTCGTAACAAAGGTATCGTGTCCTCGCCACTGTGGTAACCATAATGCCAAAATGGTCAATATTTTTGCCTGCATGGTAATGAACAGTGCATCCGGAATTCCTGGCTGGTAACTTCGCATTTCAACCAGACTGTACACCGTACAAGTAGGGTTTGACTCAGCGAAACGAAACTGTTTGTCCACGTATATACCAATAGAATGCGCAATTCTCTTGAGTGTACGAACACTTACAAATATAAAGCGTTACATGCACGTATGCGATACAATAATAGCGAACATCTTACAATCACTCTGTAAATACAAAACAAAACGTCATAGGATCAGTTTCATGGTTCAAGTATATTAATGAAATCACACATAACATTCTACTGTAAGATTTAAATATGCATTGCACTATTTGTAACATGTTCGTATAGTTTTGTTTATGCATTAAACATATTTTTAATGTAGAAATAATTAGTTGGTTTTTTATGCAAGTTTTAATACATGTAGAAATAAATATTTTTGTTGTTCAAATTTATATTAGAATTGTTTTTAACTTGATCTAGATCCAATTGTAAAGATCCATAAGTAAAATTCTAGTAGATTAAACTAATGTGTGCCACAATATTCATCACTATGATAGCTTTTCGGTTTGAAATTGTGTTTTTTTTTGTGGCGCTTGTTTAACAGTTACTGTTTCAGTTTTAATTTTCTTAAAAAGATCACGTTTAGCAATAGCAATGTTTTATCGGTCGAGATTGTAAACGCCGCTACTATAAACAGAAATGCGCATTTTGTAGAATACACGTGGACAGTCAGTTTCGTCTCGCTGAGTCAAATCCTACTTGTACGCTGTACAGTCTGGTTGAAACGCGAAGTTACCAGCCAGGAATTCCGGATGCACTGTTCATTACCATGCAGGCAAAAATATTGACCATTTAGGCATGATGGTTATCACAGTGGCGAGGACACGATACCTTTGTTACGAAATGTACACGTGGCTTATCTCGGATGCGATCGAGCTCCATGATTGTTACCGCAAAGATAAATGCCCCACAATGAATGTCTGTTGCCTTTTAGGACTTGACCTCGCGTTTCGCTCCGCTGGAATTCCAATTCGCGGCCCGCAAACATCATAAGTTCCCTTCGTCGTCTGAAGAAGCTTGTAGAGCTTTTTCACTTCAATCTATCGTGCTCACTACTTCGTCAACACTGTATCAACCTTACTACAAATCTCAGAGGTATCGCTCTTCCTCCATCAGTAAATCGCAATGGCTTCCTCCCTCGTCGCCCTGCAATCATTCTCGGCTCTCTCCTTCAGCACTGCCGTCAAAGGGGCTTCGCTTTCCGCGCATCGCCTAGCAGTCGCTTCCGCCATTGCTCCCTGCAGGACAGGTGTCACCGCCCTCCTAGGCTTCAACAAATCCGCCGTCCCCGCTAAAACCACACCCGCTAAGAAGCAACCCCGCACCGAAGATGGCATCTTCGGCACATCCGGCGGCTTCGGCTTCACGAAAGCTAACGAACTTTTCGTCGGCCGCATGGCGATGCTCGGATTCGCCGCGTCGCTCCTTGGCGAAGCCATTACCGGGCAAGGAATCCTCTCGCAACTCAACCTGGAAACCGGAATCCCCATCGCGGAAGCCGAGCCGCTGCTCCTCTTCTTCATCGCATTCACCGTGCTCGGCGCGATCGGCGGGCTGGGCGACCGCGGGCGATTCGTCGATGACGAGGCGCCTGCCGGGCCGCCCGTGAAGCCTGGCAGTTTCAAGGCTGCGCTTGGACTGAGCGAGGACGGGCCGCTGTTCGGGTTTACCAAGGCAAATGAGCTTTTCGTGGGGCGCATGGCGCAATTAGGGTTTGCTGCGAGCTTGGTTGGCGAGGTGATCACTGGGAAAGGTGCTCTGGCGCAGCTGAATATCGAGACTGGGCTGCCGATTTTTGAGTTGGAGCCGCTGCTGCTGGCGAGTATTGTGTTCTTCTTCGTCGCGGCTATTAACCCCGGTACAGGAAGGTTCATCAATGATGACGAGTAGGATCTTAGAACATGTAAATAGATTACTTTAGGTTTTGGCTTTGCTCGTACACATTCACTACCTCAGCTTTTGAACAATAAACCGTCTTTTGCTTAAACACGACTGTATGCGCCTGCTGACAATGTATTCATGAGGTATGATGTGTGTTTGCAAGCTTGCACTCTACTATCAATTACTGGTACTGCACCTCTCAAAGATAGCACAAGCTTATAAACATATTGACCAGGTAATAATTAACCAGAAGCAAAGAAAATATAACAACCTAATATTTCAGTGCAAATTAATTATCCATGGATGCTATTTCTGTGTAATGCTAGATTTCGACCTATTACAGCGAAAAAATGAAAGCTCAAAGATACTACCGAAGGAAAGTTGCCCAAACACAATTTACATAGTCTACTTAATGAGGTTACATATGTTGCGCGGTGTTCTAAAGCGATAAATAACACAGAATGTTCCTTAGCACAGTTGCGCGCATTAACCATGTCAAACACCAATATCCCCCCCACCCCCCCCCCCCCCCCCCCCCCCCCCCCCCCCCTTCCCCTAGCACCCCGTTCCTGGTTGTGCTCCGTATACTGCGTCTGCATAGGTTTCTACTTCGCTCAGCATATGGCTGGATTATATCAGACGAGAGTTTTCTTGTAAACAATCACGCATTGTAATAAGACGCGAAAAACATATCAGGGCTGGTTGTGGTGGACCCTAGATTTCCGATTCCGTCCAACAAGTCAGGTCACAGGCGGTCAACAGCACTTTAGACGCCACTGTATGGGCAAAAAAGGTTCCAGATTCTGGAATCCAGAAGCCACTCCGAACCAGAGCTGTCGATTGGTTCCAGGCCAACACTTGAGAGTCTGAGGTCCCCGGATTTCAACCCTGAAATTCCCGGGAAGTGGCCTCCAGGAAAGCCATCAACTTAAAACTTGAATTCAGGGCCACACTTCAACATTCAGGGTGAATAGTTATCCCTCAGGCCAGCACTTCACACCTCTGACGAGCACGCGAGTGCTCTCTCTGACTTGGCGGCAAATGAAACTACCTTCCTGCCGGGATGGGATGGGTTGGGAAGTGAGAAGAGAAGGAGGGGGGGAGGAGTGGAGAAAAGCTGTGAACGCTTCCGGGTAGGACCCGGAACTTCCACGGGGATTCAGGGAATCCCCTCAAGTGCCTCCTGTAAGAATCAGGGGAAGGCCCTTCCCACGCCCGTTAGAATTCAGGGCTGTACAAAAAATCAACCCTGAGAATTCGGACCCTGGAGCGAATTCAGACCTTAATGTTCAGGGCATTAAGGCCATATTCCGAACATCCTTAGTCAGAGATCTGACTTGGGGCGTTTTCGTCATCTTCCGCTTGTTGACGAAATCGATGGTAACAAAAGGTACACGCGGCTGAACCTCTGTCTCAATTCTGGCAAACGCTGAATCGGACCATCCACCGTGGCGTTCCAGATGGGCAGCCACGTCTCGCAGTGAATTTCTGTTGTGTTTCAGGACTTGAGACCGATTCGCACCAAAGAAAATCCTATCCGCGGCTCGGCAAAAATAGTACAAATTCTCATGCCAGTCCACACAACAAATTGTTTGTCTTCAGTTCATTTTTTCAACATCAGCATCACAGCGATACCTTTCGCTCGAACTACCACTCTTTTTCACTACTCGTCCGCAATGGCTTCCTCCCTAATCGCTCTCCAATCGCTCTCTGCTCTCTCTATTAGCACAGCCGGCAAAGGCGCCTCAATTCCATTCCATCGCCTAGCAGGCACCTCCGCCATTGCTCCCTGCAGGCCAGGTGTCACCTCCCTCCTAGGCTTCAACAAATCCGCCGTCCCCGCTAAAACCACTCCCGTCAAGAAGCAACTCCGCACCGAAGATGGCATCTTCGGCACATCCGGCGGCTTCGGCTTCACGAAAGCGAACGAACTTTTCGTCGGCCGCGTGGCGATGCTCGGATTTGCAGCGTCGCTCCTTGGCGAAGCGGTTACCGGTCAAGGAATCCTAACGCAATTTAACCTCGAAACCGGAATCCCCATCACGGAAGCCGAGCCGCTGCTCCTCTTCTTCATCGCATTCACCGTGCTCGGCGCGATCGGCGGGCTGGGCGACCGCGGACGATTCGTCGATGACGAGGCGCCTGCCGGGCCGCCCGTGAAGCCCGGCAGTTTCAAGGCCGCGCTAGGACTGAGTGAGGAGGGACCCCTGTTCGGGTTTACCAAGGCAAATGAGCTTTTCGTGGGGCGCATGGCGCAATTAGGGTTTGCGGCGAGCTTGGTTGGCGAGGTAATTACTGGGAGAGGTGCTCTGGCGCAGCTGAATATCGAGACTGGGTTGCCGATTTTTGAGTTGGAGCCGCTGCTGTTGGCGAGTATTGTGTTCTTCTTCGTCGCGGCTATAAACCCCGGTACAGGGAAGTTCATCAACGACGAGGAGTAGGGTCATAGCATTTGTATATATAAATGCCATGGGTTTTACACACAAGGATGTACAGATTTTGACTCTGTCATTCACTTCCCTGTGCATGAAACGTGTTTTGCCGTTGGATGTATAACAACATCAAGTCAATAGCCTCAATACACTAAGTGATACAGGATACATAACAGATCTAGTGATTAGGTATCTTTAATATTTCATCACAAGCTGGTTAGCCATGGATGCTCTTCCTGTGTAATGCTGAATCTCAGCCTGATGGCGTCAAGGGTGAAGGGATGGGGGAGGGAGAGAAGATTGATGAATGAGGAGACAGGAGGAAGGAAGTGGAATGTAAGATGGAGAGAAGATATTTGATAGGGAAAGAGGGCATAAGTCCTTTTTTATGAGAGGCACAATCTAATTTCAATTCCCAATTTCACAGCAGCATCTGCCAGTTTCTCACTTTTCAGGACTCACACGTGACAGCCGATTCACAGGGGAATAGAGCACTGTGGCACCTGGGGCACCCTTGCATAGGCAGAGGGGCATGCACTAGTGGTGGGTGCGGCAGTGGGGCATGGGGAAGTGGGACATCCACCGTTACTGACTGCACACACAGCCACGCTTCCCTGCCCCTTCGTTCCACCATAGCCTCTCTCTCTTTGATCGCAGCATCTTCTTCCAAGATAGCTGGTGCTAGCCCAGCTGGTGCTTTCTCCAGCTGTACCCTTCCCAGACCTCACCCCTGCATGCAGCCAGCACAGACTTACCAGCATTGCATGCACCGGCGCATCTCCCAGCTCCTCTCTCCCTCAGCACATCAAAGCACCCCTCCTTTGGTGGTCACCCTCCCCTGATATACCCTCCTCTGTACACCCTCCCCTGATGCAACTACCCCAAAACACCCTCCCCAGGTCTCACCTTGCGCACGGCCACAATCGCCTGCGCCATCTCTTCCCCCAGTACTGCTCGCAAGACAGCATCCGCCTCAAAGGCCGCCAGTGACCCCTCCAGGCAGGCTGGCAGGCAGAGCGGCCACCTTGCCCCTTCACACCCTTCCCTACCACACCGTTGCGCACTGCCACAACTTCCTGCACCATGCCATGCCTTTCCCCCCCGGTCTCACCTTGCACACGGCCACAATCGCTTGCACCATGCCCCCCCCCAGTGCTGCCCGCATAACAGCATCCGCCTCAAAGGCTGCTGGTGACCCCTCCAGTCAGGATGGATCAGGATAGCTTGCCCTGACACACCCTCCTCTGAAGCTCCCTCCCAGGTCTCACCTTGCGCACGGCCACAATCGCTTGCACCATGGCCTCCCCCAGTGCTGCTTGCAGGACAGCATCCGCCTCAAAGGCCGCTAGTGAGTCCTCCAGGCATGCAGGCAGGCGAGGGGGCGCAGAGTCGGCGGGAAGGTCAGCTGGGTTCACGTCTGAAGGGATGGAGGGGAGTGGTAGGGGGTGGAACGAGGTGTGGGTGGGGAATCAGTCCAGTGGAGGATGACACGGGGGGGTGGCAGGAGGGTGGCAGGCATGGAGGTTACGAAGAAGTTGAAAAACTAGGAGATATTGAAATCACTTTTGAGAATTCTCAAAAGTGATTTCAAACTAGGAGAGAGTCCTCCTTGGTGAAACATCAGGAGGGAACGATTGGCGCTAGCACCAAGCATGCATGCATACACGTGCGTCTCACCACGTATCACCCATGTCACATCATATCGCATCCATCACATGCATTATACTCTTGTACCATGCATATCATGGCTTGCAGGCATGTGCCAGTAGGTTCCTTCCACCAGTGACAGCTTCCGCTCCAACCCATACCCATCCATGGCAACAGCATGGATTGCAGCTGAGCACACGCACCCCATGAAATCACAACCCCGTCACATCACATCCTACCCACCCCTCCCCATTTCCTCCCATTTCTCTCCCAATAACCCCTCCCACACCCCACAGACACTCCTGGTGCACATACCAACAGGTGATGCCATCTTCTTGTTCAGCCCATGCATGCCAGCAGCAATGACGGCTGCCAGCATCAGGTGCGGCTGGCTGAATGCACGGATCACATGCCCCCACTCCATATACCCATGGGATCACACCTACAATTCCACACCAAGGGCCACATACCTATAGGTTCCGGCAGCGGCAGCTTTTTCTCCAGCCCATCCATGCCCGCAGCAATAAATGCAGCCAGCACCAGGTGCAGCTGAATGCACGGATCACACACCTCCACATAGCCATGGAATCATGCATACAACCCCACACTCCTGGGCACGTACCAATGGGTGCCGGCAGCGGCATCTTCTGCTCCAGCCCATCCATGCCGGCAGCAATAATTGCAGCCAGCACCAGGTGCGGCTGGGCGCACGCGTCACACGCCTTCACCTCGAAGTTGGTCACTGGGAATGCTGCAGGCGCGCCTGCATCACCAGCGGCTCCATCAGCAGCATGGGTGGGGGGAGCAGCAACTCTGACAGCTGCTTCGCGGTTCTCGTGCCCCCAGCACTGGAAGGCGCCTGTCCACTTGTTGGGGCCCAGGCGCTCGTAGCTGTGTGTAAAACACAGCCAAATGGAGGGAAACCGGGGTGGGATGTGTGAATGGGAGTTGAGGAGCTGGGGAATAGGGAGTTAGCTCATGGCAGTTGACTCGCAGTTAACGTGCCCCCAGCACTGGAAGGCACCTGTCCACTTGTTGGGGCCCAGGCGCTCGTAGCTGTGAGTGAGCAACGCAAAATTCAGAATTCAAAAAGCACGGGAGGTGAGAGCTTGTGCGAATGAGATTTTGAAGAAAGCGCAGCGCACTATTCAGCAGGAAATTGGGGAAAATTGTGGGGATGAGAGGGAGGGTAATGCCTGGAAAGCGCGAGGGATAAATGAAATTGAAGGAGAACATGAGAGGAAAGTGCACCTGTTGGGCAGGGGGCAGGAGAGAGCCATGATGGAGGTCAGGTGCGCCATCATGCCAGCCATGAATTGCCGCCCCTCCTCTGACATGCCTTGCTGCACTCTTTCCTGCTCTCCCTGCTCTGTAGCTGTGGGGCAGAGGGCATGAGAGAAACCCGTACCTGTTGGGAAGCGGGCACAAGATTGCCATGATGGAGGGCAGGTGCGCCATCACCCCTGCCATGAACTGCTGCCCCTCCTCCGACATGCCCTGCTGCCCCCCCTGCTGCTCTGCCTGCCCGCCTTCTCTCGCTTGCCCCGTAGCTGCGAACGCGTTGACGTACGTGCGCCCACCCTCTGACACCAGGATCGGTGCACCCGCGGAGGTTTCTGTTGCTGCTGTTGATGATGATGACGCATCAGCACCACCAGTGACCTCCCGCCATATGCTGACGTGGACGTGGCTGCCATTGGCTGCGTCGCGAGGGAAGACTCTGAGAGAGGACGAGATGGGGAATGCAGAGAGGATGCAGAGAGGATGAATGAGCAAGGAACAGGTTGGATGGAGATTCGAGGGGCGGGCTGACTGGGACCTTGAAAGGGGTTGAGAGGAAGAGCGTACAAGGCGGAATGTGCGAGGAGGCTTTTCAGAGGAGGATTGAAGCAAAAGCTTTGCAAGAGGAGGATAAAAGTGACATGAGAAAGTGGTCAGGAACTGACTGAGGAAGGAAGGTGACATGAGTGGGTGTGCTGCTCCGCTTGCTGCTCGTGCCTTCCACCTCCCCACTCCCCGCCCCTGCGGCTGCTGCTCTCCGCACCACCCCTGAGATCGCCTCCCGAACAAGCAGGATCCTATCAGCTGCTGCCACGTCAGCTGCATGCCCTACAGCTATCTCAAACTGCCCTCCACCTGATTCCGGGTGAAGCTGTGAGACAGAGAACGGGAGGAAAGGATGGACTGAATGCGGAATTGAGGGATTAAGGGAGTGAGGGGGTGAGGGTTAAGGAGGTGAGGGATTGATGAGTGAGGGAATGAGGATGGGAGAGTGCGTAAAGGAGTGGGGCAAGAAGGGCTAGGCGATACGCAGACAAAAGCCATGGTATTGCAATGCGCGAACAAGACAGTTGGATTGATTCTTGAGAAAGAGCAAACTAGAGTTGCCACCATGGCCCCCATCAACTGCATCCCTCATGCTTCCACCTACCATGCTATCTTCCCGCGTCACACCTCCCCCCCTCACTCCACCCACCTGCTCCACAGGTATTTTCATGCCCTGCAGAGCCGCCTGCATGCCACCCATCAGCTCTGTGACACACACATACATACACACAATGCTATATGCCCACGTCACACAATCCCCCACCTGCTCCACGGGTATGCCCATGCCATGCAGTGCGGTCACCATGGCACCCATCAGCTCTGCCTGCTCGTCAAACGCCAGCGCGGAGCAGTAGAGCGTGCGATCCACAGGGGTCATGCTGGGGACGGGAGAGGGGGAGGGCGGGAAGGGGAGAGCATGGGGAACGACGGAGCATGGGGAATGACAACGCACTACGACGTGCGTGCAGTTGACAAAGGCTGTTACTGGCACTCTATGACCACCAGAGCAAAGTTTTGCGAGAGGAAGTGGAGAACGGGCATGTTGGGAGCGGTGCGTGATAGGCAATGAACATGGGTATAATAGAGTAATAGCGCAGCGCGCAGAGTGCAGCAAGCACGCAGTTGTACATTTAGCAACAGGAATGGCGTGGAGAGGCAGTCGGAGGTATCAGGGTTCATACGAGGAGAGTGAACTCGCTCTCATTAAGGTGTATTTCGAGGCGCCTCAAAATACACCTCAAGGCGTGGGGAGACAGAGGGAGGTATCACGGTACATACGATGGGCTGTTGGAGTGTAGGAGAGTGAACTTGCTCTCAAACTCCGCGAGGTGACTTTTGAGTCGACTCAATAGTCACCTTGTGTATCATAAGGCAGTGGAGAGGAACAGCGTGGCAAGACAGAGGGAGGTATGGTACATACGATGGGCTGGTAGAGTGTAGGAGAGTGAATTCGCTCTCAAACCCGGCCCTCAGCACCTGCACGCACACACGCACACACAAGTACACAGCGCAGTGTCATGATCTTATGACTGAAG